ATTTTTTTTTAAAAATATCGGTTTCAAAAATGAAAGAAAGTTTATAAATTTTGTGTTTCGAAATTTTTATGAGCGGCAAACAGATCCGTTCATTTGTTATCACGTCTGAAACTAAATAATGAGATTTTGAGCTTTTTTTCCAAAATAAAAGTTGTATTTTATCCGATGATATCATTGTTATCCTTAACTGTTATAAGTAGTATCTTGCATTTCCTTAATGGATTTTTAGGAATGATAAACAAAGTCTACGTGTGTGCTGCTTCTTCGAGTCTCGCTGTTGCCTCAGATTTTTCCATCGTGTAATGCATTGAATACCGGTGTCATTTGTCAAGGCTTACCACTAAATTTTTTTTAATTCCTTCGAACTTTTTTGATTTTTTTCAATTCCGTCTTAGTTTTCCTTCTGATTTCAACTTTCCTTTAGTCTTTTGATTTTTCGAAACTTTTCTCAGTACATTTGTATATCGGTATCAAGTTCACTTTTAGTCTTTACTTATTTCTTGCCTGCTTTTTGAATTTTTCAGTTTTAAAATGGTCCCTTCATATGCTTTTTCCATTGTACAGTGTTTTAGGTTAATGACCACTTGTTAAATTTCAAAGTGAATATTTTCGGAAATAAAAAAATCACTGCATTTCTGAAGTCTCACCAAGCATTTGAGTGTTCAGTAAAAGCACGCCAGCAACTCGCTACATCAGCAAAATTTTCAAATATTTTTGAAGGCTGGAAAAAAAACCCCGAGTTGTTTCCGCGGCGTCCGTGGAGTATTTTAAACGATAGGGCAGGTGAGGGGGGAAGTATGGGGTTGTTCTCGGGGATTCACGGAGCGGCAAAGTGAGGCTAGGGAGCTTGTGTCGAGGGGGTTTAGCGATGCCTTAGCACTGTCAGCCCCGAATTTTGTGCAGTATTTCGTTCTCGAATTTACGGTACAATTTGTTTCTCTGATGACAGGTTATGGTAATTCCGCAGCTGCGCTTAACAAGAAATCAAGCAATTGCCCGGACTGTTGTTGCTGTGATTGGATTGGCGATTGGGGCGTATGGTGTGGCGACAGTCTATAAGCCGCTTCAGGTACCAGAGATTCGACTAAATTGATCTTGAATTTTGGAATACGTGTCTTTCCTTGTGTTTTTTTGGTAATATCGAAGAGATAGGAGAGGGGAGCGAGTTTTCATCCTTGCAAAGTTCTGTTTTCGAAGCACACCAGCTGAGAGAAGGGGAGGAAGAAGAGGTGGTCTTTTTCTGTTTTGTATTTTTTACAAGTGCATGTTTTTTGTAAAAAGCAATTTGCAGGGTTTTCAAGACGAATTGGATTTGCGCAAGGCCGAGTTGCTCGTCCACTACAAAGCAAAACACGATGAGCGGGTGCGAAAAGCCGCAGCTGCTCAACAGGGCCCAAAATAATCCAGAAGAGTCAGTTTCATCACCCAGCACTAGTAGTAATAGCGCTGCTGCTACTACCGGTCCATACCATGATGAATTACCCTCAACTTCCCTAATGAAGCAAATATTCAAATTTTATAAACGCCGTGATCGCGAGCTGGACTTATCGAATGTCCTGGATCTCAGGCGCTCCTCCGCAAATCAGGGGATCACTTGCTCGAAATTTGTTCCCCAGGTGACGCCCTCCGATTTGACTCTGGCGAAGCTAGGCTTGCGCCCAGTCTCACAATGGACAGCATCCACGGTGGCTCATCGCCCTGGCATGGTTATGTTGAACGACATTTTCGAGCCG